CACCATGTAGCTATCTTTGTTTTGCGCCTTTGATGGTGTCTCACAGAGAACTAACAGGCTGATTTTTTTTTTAATCAATATAAATATGAACAATATATGATCCAATAGTTCAGTATTCCAAGAAAAATATACTCTTTGTTCTCCAGTGAAGGTTGAGGGAATTTAATTAATTTTATTATGCTCAACATAATATTGACTCTCATTTACTCCATTGAATTGGATTTGGGTCCCTCTTATCTTGGTGTGTAGAAAAGAAAGAACCTGTAGCCCATTTTATAAAGCTATTCTGATTTTTTTTTCTAATCTGTCTTCTATGTTTTGTAGCCAGTCTGTTTTGTAGGTGTTTTTGCTGATGGTAGTTTGGTGTTTCATTCTATGTATCAGACAAGCTATACCATTTATTATGAAAAACAGATATACAATAGGTTGCAGTCTATTCATAGGCAAACAATGTCAACCTTGGAGATGTTTACAACTTCCAAAGATTTTCCATTATGACTGAACTATTTCAAACAGTGTAAAGTCTGGAATCTGAAAGAATTAAAATAATTTATTATTCTGTCATTTAGCAATGGTCCTATGGAACACATGAGAGGAAAAATCTAGACTCTTAGAAATGTTCACCATACTGCGCAGGGAAGTTATGATGCCCTATATCTTTGCATTTACATATAACATGGTTGGCCTGTATGTATTTTTTATGGTATTGGTAAATGGTATGGTAATTATAACTTCATTGGTGTAGCTGGGAGAACTGCTTTTGTTTAATGCATTGAAGTGGTGTGAGTGGCATCTGTGATTTAGTATATTAGATATTTTTATAAACGACTTGGAAATATCTGGTTCTGGAGAATCAGTGTTCTGTTTTTTTGTTTTTTTTTAACTATGCAGAAGAAACTTTGATTTTGCTCCTCCTTTAAATAATATTGGAAGAGTGTGTCAAAGGTCAAAACAAGTTTGCTGGAAGTATGAGGGGTAGAAACTGAAGAAATAATAGGACTCTTGTTGGAACATTCATTTGAATGCTTCCTGCTCTTCCTACTATGTCTAGTGACAAAACCTGCCTGTGGATTTTGTTGATTTTCATTTCATCCCCTTTATTTTATGATTATGTTTCTTATTTAAATACTCACAATTGAAGACAAAGTCTTGCTGACTGTGACTGTTTTTGCTGAAATATTGTATACTATATTGGCTAATGGTTTGATTGGTAGTGCAATACTACTGATAAAGTATGCCCTTGATGGGAGCACTAGAGAGCTGAAAATATTTCTGGGCTTTACCTAAGTGAAGCTGAATTCAGGAGCTGCACGTAAGGTTTGAATCCATGTTTCCTTTTCATTTTTACAACTTTAAAGTGATTAGTCATTGTCTTTAGTGATTAGTCATTACCGTAGTGAACATGTAATTTTTATTGGAGAAATACTATATTAATGCAGTTTCTTTGTTGCAGTATTTTAGTGTTCTAATAAAAATTGTTCTGAATGCACTTTTGGGGGAAGGTTTTTGTAGACATTTTCACCATAATCACCAAGGTCTGTTATTTATGTATTTTGGTATTCTGAAGGATGTAATGGCATTTTCTATATCTTCTCTTTCCAGTAGTTCCTTGTAAATCATAGTGTTCGGGAAGTTTTGTCAATGTGGCTCAAAATCCATGTCTTTTTAAGGTAAGATGGCAGGCTTTTCTTGCTCATTTTGAAGATCCCTCCAATAGTAGAGGCTCTGCATGAGAATTTTTTCTTTAATTATTTTATTCTCCGCTGGATTTAAAAATTAGGTGAGTATTATGGAGGATGCTGCTCTTTTAGATAATACAACTCGCACAGTATATATTGCACCAGATTGCACCATTTTATATATTGTGGGCAACTTCTATACTTGCTAGCAAAGGGGAAGCATGCATCCTGGAGAATAAATATCTGGCTGGTGATATTGGGGAGGTGCACACTGGAGGAAAGATTGATAGCCCAAGATCTGTAGGAAATTGTCCTGTTCACAGTATAAGAGTTGCTGTAGGACTATATAACTCCCACTCCAGATAATTTAAGTTTCATGGGCCTTTGTACATGCCACAAAATTGGCCTTTAAAGAGGCTTAAATGACCTTTTGCACTGCTTTAATGGCATTGCTGTTTGCATGCTCGGTGATGTATACCACTTTAAATGACTTTGTAACGTAGCAAGATAAATCACCTCCAAGGTGTTTTAGTTTGCTACCTAATAAAGTGCAACAATGCACAGGGTGCTGGAAGCCAACTTGCTCACGACTCAGCAGGCTTCCAGTGCCCTGTGCACCGTCCCTGCTACCTTCTCTTGCCACCAGCACACCCAGCCACCCCAGGGGCAAGCCAGCCATTCCCGAGTGGTCCCAGGTGGCAGGAAGGTGGCAGGGATGGTGCAGGGGTGCTGGAGCCTACCTGCCTCTGCTGGGGGGGAAGGAAGCTGCCATCAGGTCACATACCCCTGAACTGCGGGGGACCCCGGTGCTTTCCTCTGTGGTAGTGGCCCTCCCCCTCTCCCCCCTGCCCACTGGCACTTGGCCCAGGTGGTCCCAGGGGGTGTTGCAGCTGCAAAGGGAAGCACCGGGCCCCACATAGCTCGGGGGCTGTGCAACTTGGTGGCAGCCTGCGCAGGCCAGCCTAGCAAGCTTGACTGAAGAAAAAAAAAAGGTGGCGAGGAGCCTGATCTTTTTTTTTTCTTTCTCTCAGAACCTGCCTGCTTCCCTGAGCTGTGTGGGGGCCCAGTGCTTCTGTCCATGGTTACAGCGCTCCTCGGGACTGCCCAGGCTGGATGCCAGTGGGTGGGTGCTGCCCCTGGAAAGCACCGGGGTCACCTGCAGCCATGAAAGGAAGCACCAGGCCCCTATGCTACTCAGGGATCACTTGGCCCGCCAGCAGCTCAGACCCTCACCCAGCCACTGGAGAGGCAGGGGAAGATTGGGCCCCCAGCCTTGTGTACATGCCATGGGGATTTAATTTGGTTTAATTCTTTCTAAATTGAAATGGTGGAAACAATGGGTTTTAAAAAACCCACCGTTTCAATTTAGGGAGAATTAAACCTAATTAAACCCCCATGGCATGTACAAGCAACCCATTATACTAGATACTAAGGGCCTTACTACACAGTAATTTGGGGCAGCTCCTGGAGTTCTTATCACCTGGATTGTCCACACATTAACACCTGAAACAAGTTTTAAGCACTTGTTATGCGGCTCAAAGTTATGCCAGGCTAGGGCAGGATTATCTCTGATCCATATTACTCAGCTCTTGTTACTAAAATGTTGCCACTCTAGGCAACACCTTAGTGTAAACACTCTACCTGCACCCTCCTCCCCTGCTGGCCTGGATCTGGCCCACTGCCCCTTCCTAGCATCCCAGATCCCAGCTGGCCATGCTGTCTGTCCTGGGGAGCAGGCAGGGAAGGGTTAACCTGCCTGCCCAGCCACTGCTGCTGCTGCCCCTTTTGCTCGGTGGCCTGGGCTCATCCCAGAAAAGAGCAGCAGGAGGTCAAGCAGGCTAGTTAAGCCTTCTCCGGGCAGAGAACTCTGAGAGGCAGGGGGTGGAAATCAGGGAGCCCTGATGGGGCAAGAGAGAAGCCTGGAATAGGAATGGGGCGATTCTTACCTTTCAAGCTCCAGCTGGCCTGAACATCTGACTGCTGCAAATTTGAACTAGCACTGACACTAGGCACAATTTGTGTGCTTCACAGTGTAAGGTGTAGTAGGCAACCTTCAATCCTCCGGATCATGGTGCAAGTATAAAGTCTAGTCCGGTGCCTGATGATGAGTCCTCTTGTATGGTGTCCTGCAACCACCACACCAAGACCTTCAACAGCTAGGCAAGGGTATGGAGGAGTAGACGCTGTCCAAGAACTACCCCCCACCCTTTAAACTATTGAGACAAATTCTAAAGGCCAGACTGAGAACAGACATTCAGTGCCACGATGAGAGCAACAGATAAGAATTGCTGTTGACTGCCTAATCCCTTAGCAAGGGCTCATTTCTGTCAGGGTGATGTCCTTTAGATTTTTTCCAACCAAGGAGTACCCCCAAGGCAGTGGGGGCTAGGGTTGTGAGGTACCCTATACTCATCTTACTGTGGAGGTTGCAACTTTGGGGTATTTTATAGGAGCTACCCTGCCACAAGTAGCCCCACCATGTTACCACTAGGCCCTCCAGTTGGATGCAGTTTACAGTCATAGCTAGGACCATGTGTAAGGTGTAACAAGGCCTTAAATTAAATACTCTTTGCAAAAAGAATAGGGGTGAAATGTAATGCCTCTTATATAGCAGTGTGACACACACACACACACACACACACAAAATACTAGGTGCTTTTCAGGGCACTAACACAGATGTGATTCTGCCATTTCCCAGGGAAAAGATTGCAAATGATCTCTTTTAGGCCCCTGGCAGGCATTAATTTAATTATGTGATGGATATAACACGTTTTATTCTGCATCCCAAAAAATGCACATCTTGCCATGCATTGCAGGTTGCAATGTGTCTACTGGTATGGGAGGCCTGAGAACAGGGACCTGGATCCCTGGCTCCTTATGATTTGGGACCTTAAAAGGGCACTGGAGAAAGCATGGCATTGGGAACTGATCCCCAGCCCTGGGCTCCCCATGCACCTGGAGCTTCAAAGGGGCTGCAGGAAGCACAGTGGCAATTGCTCAATAAATGTAGCATCGACCAGAGGCCTTTGAAACTTAGTCCTACCAAATTTATCCAGAATCCATTACTTGCACTTAATCTAGAACTAAAACCATAAAGATTACTCTGTCTTCTGGGAATATGATTCTTATTAGTTTAGTTTTATTTTTACCTGTTGATTTAACAGCAAGATATGAATATAGAGCTAGTTAACCTGTACTTAACTCCAGTAGTGTTGCTCTGTCTGTTAGTTTCTATATTGTAACGTCTTAATCCAGTAACATTCTTTTTCTCTCTCTTCCAGGTATTTGAAATAGTGAGAGTGGAAAAAACAGAACAAAAAAATGGACCCCAGTCTTTTGTTAGCTGCTGCTTATGGTTTCCGCCGTTTCACTCCTAATTCTTTGTTTGAAATTGAGAATAGAATTGCTGAGAATAAAGCAAAACGAGCTCAAGCCAAGCAGGATAATAGCAGTCAGCAGGTCAAAGAAGAACACTGCTCTCCCCAGCTGGATCTGAAAGCTTGCAACAAATTGCCTACTATCTATGGAAAACCTTCACCGGAGCTTGTTGGAGTACCATTGGAGGATCTTGATCCTTACTACAGTGACCACAAGGTTAAAGCAAATCCCATTAAGAGGGTGTTGCCTTTTTTAACTTTTATGATTGTAATATATATAAGATAAATTTTACCCAGAGGATTCTTTTTTTGGTCCTTCTTGAACCAGATGTCAGTACATTACTATTCTTTGTTGGCTTAAAGTTCTTATGGGTAGATTCAAAATTAACTTGGTAAAATGAAAGGTTAATTTTAAAGCCCGCTGATCAAACTATATTGAGTATGAAAATATAATGCAGCATATCAACAAAAAATAGTTTGTGATGAAAATTATACTGTGTTCTGTAATTCAACCTCTTCCCTATAAGATCCATGTGAGTTCTCTGGGCTGAGATTACTGTAGTGCTAATAGCTTTTCTCTAATTGCTGTTAGTCACATTTGAGTTACTGTTTTGCTACAGTTACTTTTATAATAATTCAGGAAAACTAAGGAGAAAACAACACACAACACTTAAACATATTACAGAATTTCCAGGCCTTGCTGTTAGAAATGGATATATGTTTTTTTATAACTAGTAAATTAATATTCTATTGTAATATAATAGCATGTGCATTACATATTTCTGTAGAGAAAGACGAAACTTGAAATCAAATATAAGAGGGCAATTGACTTTCAGTTTATACAGTCAGATTTTTTTTTGCAAAGTGTAAAGTTGGAGACAACTCCCTGGCGCAAGTGTTGGAGAGGCCAACTAGAGGCCATGCTCTTCTTGACCTGCTGCTCAAAAACAGGGATGAGTTGGCAAGGAATGTAATAATGAATGGCAACTTGGGCAGCAGCAACCATAAGATGATTGAGTTCAGGATCCTGAGGAAAGGAAGAAAGGGGAGCTGTAGAGTAAGGACTCTGGACTTCAGAGAAACAGACTTTGGCTTGCTCAGGAAACTCATGGGCAGGATACCCTGGGAGGTCAGTCTGAGACAGAAAGGAGTCCAGAAGAGCTGGCTGTACTTTAAAGAAACCTTAGTGAGGGCACAGGAATGTGCAGGAAGAGTAGCAAGTATGGGGGAGACCAGCTTGGCTTAGCAGGGAATTCTTCAGTAAGCTAAAAGGAAGCGTATAAGAAATGGAAACTTGCACAAACAACTAGGGAGGCATATAAGAATATTGCTTGGACATTCAGGGATGAAATCAGGAATGCTAAAGCACACCTGGAGTTTCAGCTGGTAAAGGTTGTGAAGGGTAACAAGAAGGGTTTCTACAAGCATGTCAGCAACAAGAGGAAGATCAGGGAATGTGTGGGTCCCTTACTGAATGGGGGAGGCAACCTAGTGCCTGATGATGCAGAAAAGGCTGAAGTTCTAATTGTCTTTTTCACCTCAGTTATCACAGGCAAGGTCAGCTCCCAGACTACCGCATTGGGCAGCACAGGCTGGGGAGGAGGTGAGCAGCCAACAGTGGTGAAAGAACAGGTTAGGGACTACTTAGAAAAGCTGGATGTGTACAAGTCCATGGGGCTGGGTGAAATGCATCTGAGAGTGCTGAGGGAGTTGGCTGATGTGTTTGCAGAGCCGCTGTCCATTATCTCTGAAAACTCATGTTGATTGGGAGAGCTTCCAGATGATTTGAAAATGGCAAATATAGTGTCCATTTTAAGTAAGGGAGAAAGGAGGATCCAGGGAACTACAGACACCTTTGTCCCTAGAAAAATTGTGGAGCAGATCCTCAAGTAATCAATTTCTAAGCAGTTGGAGGATAAGAAAGTGATTAGGAACAGTCAGCATGGATTCATTAAGTCATGCCTGACTGACCTGATTGACTTCTAGGATGAGATGACTGGCTCTGTGGATGTGGGGAGAGCACTGGACGTGATATACCTTGACTTTAGCAAGGCTTTTGATACAGTCTCCCACAATATTCTCACAAGCAAGTTAAGGAAGTACGGTTTGGATGAATGAACTGTAAGGCAGATAGAAAACTGGATGAATCACCAGGGTCAGAGGGTTCTAATCAATGACTTGATGTCTATTTGGGAGCTGGTCTCAAGTGGGGTGCCCCAGGGGTCAGTCCTGGGACTGGATTTGTTCAATATCTCCATCAATGACCTAGAAGACAGGACGGAGTGCACCCTCAACAAGTCTGCAAATCACACCAAGCTGGGAGTGAATAATGGATATGCTGGAGGGCAGGGCTAATGACCTCAACAAATTGGAGGATCAGACAAAAAGAAATCTCATGGGGTTCCATTAAGTGAAGTGCAGAGTCCTGCCCTTAGGATGGAACAATCCCATGTACCACTACAGGCCGAGTGCTGACTGGTCATGCCTGAAAAACCCAGGAACTCACTGCACCCACTGGGCTGCACTATTCCAATCCCTTGGACCCTGACTGGGCTATTTTTAACCCTGCAACCTCCTCCCACAGACCTGCCAGCCCCCTCAAACCATCAACGCCCCCCTGTGGACCTGCCAGCCTCCACCCCACAAGTTACTTACATTGGTTTCCCCACACAACTACCAGCACTGGTGAATGGCTGTGCACGCTGCTTTTGGTTTATTTTCACTTGTCTTAAAGTGAGCTGCATGAATGTAGACTGGGTGTGGCAAATGGCTGTACATACCCTTACTTTGTGAATAGCCCATTGGGTTCAATGGAACTACTGAGTATAAGTAACTAGCAAAATGTGGTTTGTAATTAATATCCTTTAATTGTATTGACAAAGTGAGTCTGGAGATTTGTTTTCAATCATAATTATTTCTTTCTGTTGTCTCTTTCGCAGGAGACAAGAATGATCTTACAATGCTAAATTGGCCCATTGGGCAGATAGGTATTGCTAGGTTCTGTCTCCAAGTAAGAATAACAAATAAAAGAATAAAAATAAAATAATAAAAACTATCACAATCTTACCTATAATGATTTCCAGTTCTGGTTCGGCATTTAAGAAATCCTAGTTTGCTTTCTGGAGAAAAAAAAACTATATATAGTTAGTATACTTCTAATGCTGTGTTTGTTTTTTGTTTGCTTCTTTCTTTTATAGACTTTTATGGTACTGAATAGCAAGAATATAATTTTTCGATTTAGTGCAACACCTGCCTTATGCATATTTGGCCCTTTCAATCCTATCAGAAGAGCAGCAATTAAAATTTTGGTCCATTCATATCCTTTTTACTGGTTATTCTTATTCTAACACTCTTTTGAAAAAAAACTGTTCTGTTTTCCTTCATTCTAGTCTTGTATTTATAGTGGATTAAATGTAAGTGAATTCTGATATAACATTATGCTAGCATAAGAGTGATGTAGCCGCGTAAGTCCAGAAATTAATGTAAGTGGCAAGGATTTCTTAGTGTGGTATCATTTATTGAGCCAACTGTGCAGTAGGGTTAGGTCAGCTTTTGAATGCAAAACATTCTTCTACTACACAGTGGACTCATCTACATGTGTAATTAATGCAAAACAATAAACTCCAGAGCCAGGTTGGAGCAGCTCCAGCTGGCAAGGGGCCTTGGGGGTCAGCCTGTCAGCTTGGGGCTGCTCCCCCCAACTCAGTGTGCTGCGGAGTGGCTGGCTGGAGCACAAGAGTGCTTCAGTGTGGGGCTAGCTGGCAGGCAGCCCCTGCACTGAAACACCCTTGTGCCCCAGCCAGCCAGGGTAACGTCTACACATGCACTGCTACAGAGTAAAAACTCCACAGCAGGCTAGTACTTGTATTTACAGTAGCTCATGTGTATTTATAAGTACTAGCCTGCTATGGAGTTAATTAGTTTCCTCCAGCCTGGTAGGGACACAGGTGTAGATGCACACTGTGCAGTAAACATCTTGTGTAGAAGCAGCCAGTTGGTCCAGTAAAAGATAACACCCTAAGGAATCCTTGCCTCTGTGATATAGTAGTGTGTCATTGTTAGGAGGCTATACTGGACTTTGTTTCACAAAATTAGTAATATTTAAATACCAGTATATCTAGTACAAATAGTGATGAAGAATAGATTAGATGTGATGAGTTTTTCTGATGAGTCAGAGATTAAGTTCTTATATTATTGTTGTTATAAGCTTCAAGTAGAATAACATGTACAGACTACTCAATTGTGTTAGGGCTTTTCCCTTGACACCCTGCATATTTCTGCTGTGACAACATCACAGAAACATCTAGTGAAATAAATGGTCCACACTGTTTTTAAGATCTTGAATACAAATTGAATGAATGCTTTGGTCAGACACCTGGTACTGTCGTAAAAAAGATAATTCAAGTTGGAGACAGAACCTCCATTTTTTCTGTTTATGTGCCTGCAGAACTGTAGGTGCAAATTAAATCATGTGGAAATAAGTTCACTTGACTGAAGTGATTGCTACAAGATAGCACCTACAATTACTTGAACCCACAATATGTAAGTGTAAAAATGGATGCCATTAGATTGCTTAGTGCAGGGTTGTCAAACATATGGCCTATAGGTCTCTGGACCAACCCTACATGCTGCTTGGGCTATGTGCTGGCCCCACCTCTGCGTGCTGCATGTGGCGCACAGACCCAATGCCATTCACGCTGCGTATGGCTCCCACACCAGATTGGCTCTGCGTGCTGGCTTCAGGGCCAGTCAAGATCAGGCCATGCTGGAGTCAGTACACACAGCCAGTCTGGCAAGGCACCCCATGCAGCTGTGCCAGCTTCCTGCACTGTATGCCTTTGAAGTTGTTGTTGCTATCAAAAAGGAATGGATACCTATTAGGTAGCTTCCAAAGGTCAGTTTGGTTTCTAAAGATAAAGAAAAATGTTACATTTCTGAAAGTGGATATCATAGTGGCATCTCTGGTTAAGGAAATATTTAACTCTTTTGGAAGGCAAATTTCTGTCCCAGAACTAGAGGATGGGGAAAAAAAACAGAACTGTCCCTTGGATGACTTCAAAGTTTGCTTCACCATTGCTATTATGTCAAAGGCAAAGGAGATGTAGTTCCTTTCAAGGGAAAAATCAATTTATAGCTTTGAGCACTGTAACCTGCAATGGTTCTAAGCAGGTGGGCATGGAGTTCAAGCAGTTTAATAAGTGTCTAAGTATCTAGAGGTATTTAAAATCTGTCCAAAAAACTTACAACTTTTTCCATAGCTTCTAGAAAATAGAATCCTCTAGTCTACTTCCTCAAAACCTCAGTGAGGAGTTTTATAGATTTTATAGACATTAGGGCTGGAAAGGACCTCCTCACAAGATCACTGGGTCCAGCCCCTGCCCAAGGGACAGAAAGTCATCCGGGGTCAAATGATCCCAGCAAGATAGTAATCCAGTGTTTCTTGAAAGAGTCCGGAGTAGGTGCTTGCACCACTTCTGGGCATAGTCTATTTCAGGCTCTGGGGACATGAACAGTAAAGAAGTTTTTTTTTATGTCCAGCCTAAAATGGTCTTCCTCGAGTTTGTGACCATTAGACAATGTCCTCCCTTGGGTTGCCCTGGTGAACAGACGTTCTCCTAGCTCCTGATGCACGCCCATTATATCCTTATAGTTATCCTTGTTATCATCATTCTTTTAGTAACAGACCTCTTTTCAGGGTCCCAGATATCAGCAAAGAAGTGCTTGCTGTAGGAATAGTTGCAACTGATTTACCCAAGAAGGAGCTTTTTTGATCCTCCTTGCTAGATGAAAAGGACAAGGAACTCATAGGATGTTATAATATCTCTTCTACTAGGATACCTCATTAGATCTCTTCTTCCATCTTTATTGTGCCACTCAAACTCTTTGTGGGGTGTTAAGGAATAGAGCAGAAAGATGGTAGGGTAATATATTGGTATCTGGAGAGTGGCAGATAGTAGTCAATATGTAGGACTAGTTTGTCCTAGTACAATACACAATACTGTGGTTAGAGCTCATGAGATGCAGTTTAGGTTCCAAAAAGGAAATCTGCATAATACTATATTTTCCTGTACATAGGACACCCCAGTAAGACATGCACCTCCTTTTTGAAAGGCAGAATGAAGGAAAAAGATTTTTTTCCCTGTAATAAGTAACCGAGTAGCAGCAGCCAGGGAGCTGAACCTGCTCATTGTTCCACTCCCTGTGGATCATGTGCAGATTGTACTTTTACTTTTGCCCAGCAGAAGCTTAAGCAGCAGGAACTGCGTTTAGCATACTTCCTCACTTATTTACACTTCAGTTTTCAGCAACTGGTTTTTGGAAAAAAAAGGTGCGCATGGTATATGAGAAAATATGGTGATATAGGATTTTTTAATAAAGTAGCAAATTAGAACAAGGTAATATTGCAAAGTCTTATAAAGTAAATAAAATTACCATTTTATATAGGTTACTCCATATTTCACAATTGATAGCAGCTAATCTTGAGCAGATACAGTTTGTATATCTTATGAGGAGATCTGTAGAGGGTTATATTCAATTTTTCAAAATATTTTGTTAGCTATCCAGTTGATGTGGTTATTTCATTTGGGAGGTGGAAGATACACTAAGTAGTACTCAGTAAATTATTTTCATATATAAAACTAATTATGGTTGTATGTACACGTACTTCTTCCCCCCTCCATGGAATTTCCCGCAGCCTGACTGAAGACTTGTTTTGAGAAAGATGGAAAAACTTTTTCCGAGTCTTTCCTTTCTTGTGTCCTTCACAACTAGTCTGACCCACATGGAACTACCCAAAGAACAGATTGGTACAAATCTGGATAATTTGTTGTCATTCATTTTTTGATTAGCTTAGCCCTGGTTCTGCAAAGGTGTGACCTGACACCAACTACTATTACATGAGGAACAACTCAAGACTGTTGGACAGATCTTGTGCCACTTTTTAGGCATATAATAGGCACTTTAGATCATACTTAGACTGTGAGATGTCTATTCTATCC